ATTGTCAGAGAAGCTGTCTAAGCTACAGCAAGAGAAGGAAGCTCTACGTGAAGAATATTTGCGATTATTGAAGCTGCTTAATGTCCATGTGAGGTAAACAAAGACAAGTTCTCTTTGGAAGAAAACTATGTAGAGTAGTTTTTTTCTTGCTGAACCAGCTCTAGGGCTAAATAGTGCGCTGCTCACTGAAGCAGCCTTTCAAGAGGGCCATAATAAAATTCCTGTTTCCAAAAGTGCTATCCATAGGGCTTTTCCTAGGGATGTGGGGCCTAATTTCTTCTCAAGAGAGGGAAGGAGAAGGGAATTACCATTCATTGAGCTTTGATGATATTGAACTTGTTTTTCCCCAAATACACCCTTCTCACTTGCGTTCACACTTTTTTCACCTCACACACTTTCCTCAGCCTGAACCACCCTCTCCTCATTTAAAGAGCTTTTTTTATTTTAGAGAATTGACACAGAATATTAGTAATATGTATATCATATAGGTGTTATATATAATGATATATCTGTGACATATATGATACTTAAATACTCTCTCTTTCTATACATACATACATACATATATACATATATGTATATCAGTCTAATACCATTGTCCAAAGGTAAAATGACATTTGGCTTTTAGGCAGTTAATTTTTTTTTCATTTTACATATAATGAAACAACATTGCAAAAAAACAAATTCTTTTTTCAGATAGTATCTCACTCTGTCACCCAGGCTGAAGTGTAGTGGCACGATCACAACTCACTGCAGCCTCAACCTCCTGGGCTCAAGTGATCCTCCCACCTCAGTCTCCTGAGTAGATGGGACTGCAGTCACGTGCAGCCACACCCAGCTCACTTTTTAATTTTTATTTATAGAGACAGGGGTCTCACTATGTTGGCCAGGCTGGTCTCAAATTTCTGGCCTCAAGTGATCCTCCTTCCTTGGCCTCCCAAAATGCTGGGATTATAGGCAGGCGTAAGCCACTGTGCCCAGTGCAATATTTTTTTCATAATTATTTATGGCACACCTCTCAGCTATGATCGGTATAAAATTTTTGAATGAAACAAAACTTATGCAGACATTCTCCCAAGTTCATTCCTAGTGTCTTGTCAATAAACATAATTGTATGGTTTTATTATCATAGCTTTTATAAAAGTTTTATACTGTCTTTCTCTTAATATCATCTGATAAGCATTGTGCTTTGTTGCTATAGTCTTCAAATTTGCTATTTCCATATAACTTAATATTTCATGAAGTTGATATGTCCTTGCACTAACAGCAGCAGTTAAATAGGGTACAACTGCTAACAGACTAACAGAACCTAAAATTACAGTGCTAACAAATGTATACCTTATTTCAGGAATAGGGTATAATATAGAAACAGCATTAGAGGAAGAATATGCGTTAGAGCCCATGTGTGTTTCACAGCAAGGGGTCCAGAGAAGTCAGGCAGCAGCTGCAATGGTGTTCCCTCTGTAAGGGCCGTGGCTGGATGTACTTCCTCTCTGAGATCAGGAACCACTCATGTGTGCATTGACCACCTCACAACCAGGGAGCCCTGGTAAAAAACCAAGTCTCAGCTGAGATTTTATTAAATACTTTTTATATTCTGTTGTTCACATAAGCATATTCCTGCCATGTAACCTGCTTCAAGAGCAAAGATTTCTTGGGGGTCTCAACGAGACCAGGTGCAAATCATCATTATCACTGTTATCAAAAAACAATGCTGATAAACTGATACAAACTGCCATGAAACAACTTGGACCTGAGGTTATGAAGCCACACACTATTTTAATCTTTCTGTTTCCCTCTGTAATATGCTTGACCAACAGTCAGTGCCAAACAGGCACTTTAGCAAAACAGTTTAGGTTAATCCTAGACCTGCTGGAATTAACTCTCACAACATAATCCTAATTTGGTTAAGAATTACTCACTAGTCTGATGGTTGAATATTTTTATTCAAAACAATGCTGGAAAAAAATCATTTTGGTATTATATTTTTCATTTTTAAATTTATTTTTATAGAACTATAGATCTTAAAATGTGTTGACAAACATTCCGAAGTATCCTACTATTACTGGAAAGGGGTCCTGAACCCAGACCCCAATTGAGGGTTCTTGGAAATCATGCAAGAAAGAATTCAGGGCGAGTCTAAACAGTAAAGGAAAAGCAAACTTACTAAGAGAGTAAAGAAATAAAAGAATGTCTACTCTATAGACAGAGCTGCCCCGAGGGCTGCTGGCTGGCTATTTTTATGGTTATTTCTTGATTATAAATATGGGGTGGATTATTCATGTGCTTTCTGTGAAGGGGACAGGAATTTACCAGAACTGAGGGTTCCTCTTTTTTTTAGTCTATATAGGGTAATTTCCAGATGTTGCCATGGCATTAGTAAACTGTCATGGCGCTGATGGAAGTGTCTTTTATCATGCTAATACATTATAATTAGCATATAATGAGGCGTGAGGACGACCAGAGGTCACTTTCATTGCCATCTTGGTTTTGGCGGGTTTTGGCTGGCTTCTTTACTGTATCCTGTTTTATCACTAGGATCTCTGTGACCTGTATCTTGTGCCAACTTCCTATCTCATCCTGTGATTTAAGAATGCCTAACCTCAGCCAGGCGTGGTGGCTCACGCCTGTAATCCCAACACTTTGAGAGGCCGGGGCCGGCGGATCGCGAGGTCAGGAGATCAAGACCATCCTGGCTAACACAGTGAAACCTCGTCTCTATTAAACATACAAAAAATTAGCCGGGCGTGGTGGCGAGCTCCTGGCAGGAGAATGGTGTGAACCGGGGAGGCGGAGCTTGCAGTGAGTCGAGATCGCACCACTGCACTCCAGCCTGGGCGACAAAGCGAGACTAAAAAGAATGCCTAACCTCATGAGAACGCAGCCCAGCAGGTCTCATTCTCATTTTACCCAACCCTTAGTCAAGATGGAGTTGCTCTGGTTCAAATGCCTCTGACGCTACCAAATTTTTCTGCCTTCATTATGTAAGAGTAGCAATTTTACCACATCCTCGTTAGCATTGAGTCTAGTATTGATGGGGGACAGAGGTTCTGATGAAATTTTCCCCAATATTCTTTGTTTGAGATATAATTTGCATATAATATATGCAAAGATTTTTTAATATACAATTGGATAAGTTTTGACAAATGTTTGTGTCCATATTACCACCACCCCAATGAAGATACAGAACAGGGCCAGGCGCAGTGACTTACGCCTGTAATCCCAACACTTTGGGAGGCTGAGGTGGGCAGATTGCTTCAGCTCAGGAGTTCAAGGCCAGGCCAGGCAAGATGGTGAAACCCTGTCTCTACCAAAAATACAAAAATTAGCCAGGCATGGTGGTGCACATCTGTGGTCCCAGCTACTTGGGAGGCTGAGGCAGGAGGACCACTTGAGCCCAGGAGGCAGATATTGCAGTGAGCCAAGATCATGCCACTGCACCCCAGCCTGAATGACACAGTAAGACTCCATCTCAAAAAAAAAGATACAGAATATTTCCACTGTCCCTTAAAGTCCTCTATAACCTGTTTGCAGTTGATCTGCATCTACTGCTTTTCCCACCTTCCTCCAAGTTGCCACTGTTCTGATTTCTGCCTGTCCTGGAATTTCTTCTAAATGGAATTACATTACATGTAATTGTAACCATAATAGGTTTGTTGCCCAATGCACACAGCAAGTCAATACACCAAGCCATTGGGTTGCAGCAGAGAAAGAGGTTTAATCGTAGAGTCATCAAATGAAGAGATGGGAGGAAACCTCAAACCCATCTCCTTGAGGAACTTAGGGTCAGGGTTTTTAAGGGTTTTGGATTGGGCCAAAATGTGAAGATGGTTAACAGGTCAAAGAGTCCAGGGTGAAGTCATGGGACAGGGAGATGAAGAAGCTATATTATACTGATGCTGTTCCTCTCTGGGGGTCTTCAAACTGGTTGCTGGAATCTGTTTCTGAAAAACATCTTAAGCAATTCCGTTTGTTTGTTTGTTTGTTTTTTGAGACAGGATCTCACTCTCTTGCCCAGACTCTGGACCGCAGTGGCCTCATCTTGGCTTATCACAACCTCCACCTCTCAGGCTCAAGCGATTCTCCTGCCTCAACCTCCCGAGTAGCTGGGATTACAGGCGCGTGCCATTACTGCCTGGCTAATTTTTATATTTTTAATAGAGATGGGGTTTCACCATGTTGGCTAGGCTGGTCTTGAGCTCCTGATCTCAAATGATCCACCTGCCTCAGCTTCCTATAATCCCTGCTGGGATTCTAATGTTAGAGGTCCTGTCTATAGGAACAATGGGGATGCAAATGATCAGTATCTAATGCTGTGTGACTTTTAGCAACAAGGAAGTGGACCAAAGTGAAGCCCGATTAATGCTTTATCATAATTATATTGCTGTCCAGAACCCAGCATGTACTTCCTGTCAACCTTGTTGGGGCAGCTTCATACTCTTTTGTGTCTGACTTCTTTGTTCAACATATTCTATTATTTTTAAGTACACTTATAGACAGAAATTAGTCACTTGTCATTTTATTTTGAATTTCTTTTTTGTTGTTGTTGTTGTTTGTTTGTTTTTGAGATGGAGACTCGCTCTGTCATCCAGGCTGGAGTGCAGTGGCATGATCTCGGCTCACTGCAACCTCCGCCTCCTGGGTTCAAGTGATTCTCCTGCCTCAGCCTCCCAAGTAGCTGGGACTACAGGCGTGTGCCACCACGCCCGGCTAATTTTTGTATTTTTAGTAAAGACAGGGTTTCGCCATGTTGGCCAGGCTGGTCTGAAACTACTGACCTCAGATGATCCACTCGCCTTGGCCTCCCAAAGTGCTGGGATTACAGGCGTGAGCCACCACACCCGACCTATTTTGAATTTCTTTGATGGCTAGTGAGGCTGAATGTTTTTCCACATTATTTGTACACAGCCTTTTAGGGTGGTGGATTCTGACCCCACTGCACATGCCTGGGCTCCAACATAGATGAATAAAATGAAAACCTTTGGGCATGACTTCCGTCCAGACTGGAACCCCAGATGGCTGTGCTCTTGCTGAGACATGTTGGTCATCATTGCCTCCAAGCCCACTTTAGCCCACAGCTCTGTATCAGAAATGCTGTTCCTTTGGGAACCATGGCCAAAGAAGAGATGGAGCAGTTCTGGAATAAGAATATAGGTTCAAACCGTCCTGTATCTCCCCACATCACTATCTACAGCTGGTCTCTTCCCATGGCGATGTCCATCTGCCACCATGGCACTGGTATTGCTTTGAGTGCAGGGGTCTCTCTTTTTGGCATGTCAGCCCTGTTACTCCCTGGGAACTTTGAGTCTTATTTGGAACTCGTGAAGTCCCTGTGTCTGGGGCTAGCACTGATCCACACAGCTAAGTCTGCACTTGTCTTCCCTCTCATGTATCATACCTAGAATGGGATCCGACATTTGATGTGGGACCTAGGAAAAGGCCTGAAGATTCCCCAGCTATACCAGTCTGGAGTGGTTGTCCTGGTTCTTACTGTGTTGTCCTCTATGGGGCTGGCAGCCATGTGAAGAACGGAGGTTCCCAGCATCATCTTCCTACACCTTATTACATTCATCCATCTTTCTGTTTTTCATTCTTATCTCCAGCCTGGGAAAAGTTCTCCTTATTTGTTCAGATCCTTTTGTACTTTCAGATCCCCTTGGAGCAGTAGAGTACCTTGTAGACCGTAATAGTGGAAAAGGGTCTAGTTTTCCCCTTGTTTCTAAAGATGCGGTGGCTGCAAAAACTCCCCTTTTTTGCCCACAGCTTGCCAACTCTCGGCCTAGAAGCAGTTATTCTGTCTCCATATTGGGCTTTGATTTGTGCTGAGGGTCAGCTTTTGGCTCCTTCTTCCTGAGACAGTTGAAACAATGCCAGCTCTGTGGCTTCTGCCCTGGGGACTGGGGGTGAGGCTTTGGGTGCCACTGCCTGTGGGTTGCTGGCTTAAAGGACAATTCTGTTCATTGGTGAGAACCCAGGCCATTAACACCTACACAGTGTTATTGAAAGAAGAGAGGTGGGGGTGGAGGGGAATTAGTCTGTCCCAGTTAGAGGGAGATAAAGAGGGCTAGTTAGTTCTTGGAGCAGCTGCTTTTGACACAAGAAGAAGATCCAGAAAATTATTGAACATATTAATGGTTATTTCTTTTTCTTGGATTTCCAGAAAAGCCTCTTAATTTTGTGCTTTCTCATCAAAGTCATGTACCCTTTTTTTCTGAAACTGAATTAAAATACTCATTTAAAAAAAAAAAAACCTTTGGGCATAGGGTCTGTGGATCAACACTTTTCTAAAAGCATCCTTGTGTGATTCTAATGTGCATTCGAGGTTGAAAACTATATTTAGGAAAGAAAATGGAAAGAATTATTGAAACTCTACATTTATTTTTGTTTTCATTTCCCTGATCCCAGTCCCGACTTTCACAGACAATGGTTATTTTTTACATTTTCTCTACCACTTTTCCAGAGAAACAATTCCCTTGCTTTTTTCAAATCAAAGTATAGACAACCTGCTTTTATTTAAACACAAGCTAAAAGTTGTTCCTAAATTTTAAAATGTAAATATTGTGCCACCTCATAAAATTAATAGTTAACAAAGCCAAAAACAAGCATAGAAAATCTACATATTCTTCGGGCAAGGTAGGCAACAGAACTTCAGACTGAACCAATAGTTGTGACACATTGCCAGCAATGACAAGGGAAGCTCTAAGTTCTCACCAGCTGTACTGCATCAACATGCTTTCCAAACCGTGTATAACACTACAGAGAGTACCCTTAATATCAAATAATAGGAGAATAATTAGGTGAAGTATAATATAGTCACTTAATAGGACATAATACAGCTGTAAAGGATGATGGCTGTGAATATTAGATAACAATGTGGGAAAATGCTTATAATGTAGTAAGTGAAAAGAGCATACAATAAACATTTTGATGTAGACAATGTTTAAACAAAAGATACTTATAAAAGGAATTAGAAGGAAATGCAATATCATAGTACTGGTCATCTTGGGAGTTGGGGATTTTCCCAAACTTTCTGTAATTAATTATTTTAAATAACAAATTGGCCTGGCATGGTGGCTCACGCCTGTAATCCCAGCACTTTCAGAGGCCAAGACAGAAGGATCACTTGAACCTAGGAGTTCGAGACCAGCCTAGGGAACAGAGTGAGATCTCGTTTCTACCAAAAAAAATTTAAGGAATAAATTTATTTTTTTAATAACCCAAATGGCAGAATAAGAGAGTAGCCGTGTGGCATGAGAAGTTAGAGACTTGGGTTTTAATATTCCAGTACAGGATAGGTGAAAGAAATTCCAGAAGTGTAACACCCAATGGGGTTCTACTTGCCCACTGCCTAGACAGAGCTGATGATAATCAAGACAAGGGAATTGCAAGACAGAAAGAGATTAATTCATGCAGAGTCAGCTGTATGGGAGACCAGAGTTTTATTACTCAAATCAATCTCCCCGAAAATTTGATGATTGGGTTTTTAAGGATAATTTGGTCGGTCGGGGGTTAGAAAGCAGGGAGTGTTGACTGATCAGGTCGAAGATTAAATCACAGAAAGTTGAAGCTGTCCTCTTGCACTGAGTCAGTTCCTGGGTGGGAGCCACAAGACCACATGATCCAATTTATCCATCTAGGTGGCATCAGCTGGTGCACCTCAACACAGGATCTGCAAAATATCTCGAGCACTGATCTCAGGTTTACAACAGTGACTCCTAAACCATAATTTCTAATCTTGAGGCTAATTTGTTAGTCCTGCAAAGGCAGTCTAGTCCCCAGGCAAGAAGGGAGTTTGTTTTGGGAAAGGGCTGTTACCAAGTTTGTTTTGAAGTTAAACTATAAACTAAGTTTCTCCCAAAGTTAGTTGGGCCTACACTAGGAATGAACAAGAACAGCTTGGAGGTTAGAAGCAAGATGGAGTTATTTAGGTCAGATCTCTTTCACTATCATAATTTCTTCAGTTATAATTTTTGCAAAAACAGTTTCAGAAGTACATGTTGTATTATAAATGATGTCAAAACATCAGAGAAACTGTGAACAGCTGGGAAACCCAGAGGATGGCAGGTACACTGCTGGATCTTACGTCTCTGAAGCTATAGACTGGAGGATGTTGAAAACCAGTGATATCTTTTTTTTTTTTTTTTGAGAAGGAGTTTTGCTCTTGTTGCCCAGACTGGAGTGCAGTGGTGCCATCTCAGCTCACCACAACCTCCGCCTCCCAAGTTCAAGCGATTCTTCTGCCTCAGCCTCCCAAGTAGCTGGAATTACAGGCATGCAGCACCACGCCCAGCTAATTTTGTATTTTTAGTAGAGACAGGATTTCTCCATGTTGGTCAGGCTGGTCTAGAACTCCCGATCTCAGGTGATCCACCTGCTTCGGCCTCCCAAAGTGCTGGGATTACAAGCGTGAGCCATCGCGCCTGGCCGAAAACCAGTGATATCTTTTACCAAACGTTCCCAGTAAAAAGGAGAATGAGAACAGTTATGAAGTGTACCTTTTTGTAAAGAATACCTCCTTGTAAAGAATCTAAGTCACAGCTGTGGTAATTATGAACACAGTCTGCAAAAGTATGTGCCTCATATTATGTAGCAGGTGCTGATGGTGGCTCAATGGGTCAAAAGCCTAGGCTCCCTCTATCTTGTTATTGCTTCAACATCTGTAACATGTTGCCCTTATCCACATAGTTCAAAGTAATTCACTACCATACCCACATTTCAGCCAGTAAGAAAGAAAGAGAGGAAGGCAAGGGCATTCCATTTTCCTTTAAGGCACACTACTTCCATTCACATTCTGTTGGCCAGAATTTACTTACATGGACTCATCTAACTGCAATAACTCATCCTATGCTGAGTAATATTCTGTTGGCCAGAACTCACTTACATGGCCTCATATAAATGAAAGGAAAGCCAGAAAATGTAGTTCCTATGCTGAGTAAACCAGTGCCCAGCAAAAAATAATTGGGGTATATAATGTAGAAGAAGGAGAAATTGGATTGGGTACAACCCCAGCAGTCAGTCACTCCCGCATACACTGACAAGCAAGCTATATCTAGCTTTGTATACATGCCTCTGGCCTACAGGAAGCCAAACTGCTCAGTTTGGTATCTGACTAAATTAATCTCTTTCGGGAAAAACATGCAAAATGATTCTTTTATGTACACTTAGCAAATAGGAGAAAGAGGAGGACTATTTTGGAAAATGGAGGAGTCTTGCAAAACGACATTTAAGAGTAAGACATAACTTTGCAGGGTCCAAGGGAAAACTTCTCCTTTACCCTCTGAAAGTTCACTGAAAAATCAACCAACAAAAGGCAGATAAATAGGAGAAACAGTATGCAAATCTATTAATGTGCATGGGGGAGAACCACAGAAAGATTACCCCAGTCTCCAATGAGGTATAGAAGCTTATACACCATCTTGAGATTACAGAAAGAATGGAGGCTTAGATCATGGCAAAACAGTTATGGGAAGGGGAGAAGAGAAGGCCTGCCTAGCAAAGGTGGTCTTGTTATATAGATGAAACCTCCCAGGTATTATAGCAACCCTCAGAGAGAATAGATGGTCAATATTGCTTTCACACCTTTAAAGGTTTCAGGCTCTCAGTTAATCTTTCCTAGATCTGACAAGGGAAGGAAGGCCCTTAGAGAAAGCCTGTCTGAACATATTCTCTATAGATGCAAATCCCCGCCCCCCCATCCGCCTGCTCCCACAAAAGACAACTTTTCAACTATTCTTGTATTTCCAGTCATTCTGAATAGGTATCTTGAAATATGTCAAGGAAATATACTTTGGAGTGAAATATTTTAGTTTCCTTCAACTTATAAGGATATAGGATTCCCTTGGAGTAGTTCTTCCATACCAGTTTAAATAAAATTAGCATTGTTCTTCCAATCCCATCTGGTTGTACAAAACGAAGTGTATCTCATCAGGAGAAATCAGGGATATCTGTTTGCCTACCTTTGTTAGTATTATAGCAGTAGGGTATGATGGAAAGATCATAGGCTCTGGGGTCAGATTCTTCTCTTTAGAATAACTTCTTTTAAATAACTTTTCGGGAGCTAAATGATAAAAACCTATGAACACAAAGAGGGAAACAAGAGATACTGAGGTCTGCTTGAGGAGTAGGGGAAGAGAGAGAGGAGTAGAAAAGAACTATTGGGTACTGGGCTCAATACCTGGGTGATGAAATAGTATGTGCAATAAACCTCTGCGACACGTTTTTACCTGTGTAATCAACCTTCACATGTACCCCCAAACCTAAAATAAAATGAAATAAAAAAGTTTTTATAAAACTAGAAAACACCAGTAACCTTGAACTACAATATTTGAGGAAGAGCTGCCTGCAGGGAAGTTCAAACAAGAGTGTGGGGAAATACCTACAGACCTCTGTGGCTCAAGATCTCAAATAAATCAGGCAGAGCACAGTTATTCAAAGGATGTGGGACAATATGAGGGGCAAAAAAAAAAAAAGTAACTTGTCTGTCAGGAATCTCCAAGACTCCCCTCAGGTTTGATGACTCCCTAGAATGAAGTGCAAAACTCAGAAAAACAG